TAAGTCCAGCAGCTATCTCAATCAATCGTCAGCTATGGAAAGATCGGGTTCCAAAGGCCGGATCCCTTGTGAATCAAGTCACGAAAAGTTCAAGAATCGGCAACAGGCCATGGGCCTATCTCTTCAATGCCGACACTTCTATTCTATTCTAATAGGGAGAACAGGGATAGACGTCGTTTTCACACATCCTCATCGTGTCTAATCCGACAGCACGGATAGACAATGCTCGAATGAAAAATATTTGTTTATCAACGAAAATAAAAAACCTTTTCTGGATAGTAGGGGGAAATCAAATATCAAAGCTCTTTAAACGAGTTCTTAGACATTTTAAACTCGTAATTCATAATTTACTGAACATAAAAATAATTTTATACTATGATTTATTTCAGTGCCCAAGATGTTCTCGTTCTTACAATTTTTAGATTATATTTAAAAAAATTCCGTTTATATTCAATATTAATAACATTGTTCAAATTTTACGGCAGGACTCGCGGCCGGTCCTACGGCCAATCCCCGAATTCAGTGACCAAGGAATATCTCCCAAACTAAAATAATGAACGCAGCTCGCTGAAACTTGGTACACGTATTCATCAGGACCTAACAATGATGTTTAGCTCGTGAAAATTTTTTTCTTTTCACCTTCATTCGTCAATTATACTGAAATTCTGGCCGAAATTTGTAGTTACCAAGAAATTTCTTCTAACAAACAACTAAAACAGATTTGAAAACAACTAAACAGATTTGAACGAAACTTTGAAAATACAGTCCTAATCTTTCAACGGTGATATTTAGCTCGTGAAAATTTTGCCTTCGTTCGCGAGATATACTGATATATTGAGAAACGACCGGCAAATTTAAAAATCATTCGTATCGAATGAAAATTTTTTCATTAGATACGTATATCCGTAGGTATAACTCGCAAACGAAGACACAATCGAAAAAATTATCACGAGCTAGTGCAAACATCAGGGAGATTAGGTTTCAGGGATCAGGGAGATGAGGTTTGTATATTTAAATTTCATTCAAATCTGTTCAGTAGTTCAGAAGAAATTTCCAGGTCATTGCAAATTTCGGCCCGAATCGGATACAAAATAAAATCGGATACTTTAACTCACGAATGAAGGTGGAATGAAAATTTTATCACGAGCTAGGTCCTAGGCTAATGAATACGTCTAACAAGTTTCATTGAGCTACGTTCATTAGTTGGGGAGATGTTCCTTGGTCATTGAATTTGTAGATTAGCCGTGAGACCAGCCGCGAGACCGGCCGTAAAATTTGTCCGAAACTTCGTCACAGGAGGACCAAAATATTATTGGCAATCGAGTACTCAGAAAAAGGAGTGGGTCATGTTGTCCAAAAAGTGAAACAACTTCTTAATAACAGCACAGGCAATGAGTAAACGTAGCCCGGATCCAAGACTGCAGACCTGGATATATATAGACCTGGATATATGATATCAAGACCTGGATATATGATAGGCAAGACCTGGATATATGATATCATATCATATTCGTCGAGCCAAACTGGGTCAAGATGTTCGGCACAGGGACAAAAAGTGAATGGTAATTTGGACAAAATCTTGCACATTCCTCTAAGTGTTACAATCGTCCAATTTTATAAGCGAGAATGATTTAAGACCCCGATAAATAAATGCGTGAAGTCAGCACTAACAAAGCATTTTACATATTCTCTTACTTTTGCGACCCGCCAATGAAAGAAGCATAGATGCTAACATGAAACTGTTTTGTTGGTCCAATAGCAATTACACATGAATAGCAATTACACATGAGACTGAAATCCTATCTATAGTATAGTATAGTATAGTATAGTATAGTATAGTATAGTATAGTATAGTATAGTATAGTATAGTATAGTATAGTAATTATATCATATCATATCATATCACATCATATCATATCATATCATATTATATCATATCATATCATATCATATCATATCATTTCATATCATATCATTGTGATGTCAGAGCTGAAGAATAGGCCTGATGTGACCTGTCGCCGATTCTTGTACATTTCATGACTAATAAAGCTACTAGACTCTTCTACATTTCATGAAATAGCTACTAGACTTCCTCCAGGTTCGATATGGTGCTAGGCATTTTAAGCCTGAACATATATTTCTCCATAGCTACTGGTAACTTTGCTATCCGATTCTGATCACTCAAATGATCGACAGATGCCTCAAGTTAAACTATAATTTTCTCAGCTCTCCTACTTGCCGAAAGACTTCATAATTTCAACATTCAATATAGTTCAAGCATATTATTACATTGTTCCAGGAATATACTAGAACTAGTAAATGAAATATCGTGCAGGTCCTGGCCACGAGACCGACAATCACTGTGGCTTAATTTAGGCTCATCGGTTTCCTCATGTTAAGGGGACCAAAGGAAGACGAGCTCGAGTTTGTCAGTGGCTGGTGCGGGAGTAGGTCATAAGGTGTGCTCACTGGGAACCTTTTTATTTTTCCTCGTCTATATTTAGGTCTGCAAATGCATACAAGTTTACGAGATGCCACTCAATAATAATAAACTTACCAACTGCTATAAATGATATTGAGAAATTTATGGCTTCCTTTAATACGAGCGCTTCGATCAAGTTTTATTAATTTAATGAAGCAGTTTATTTAATGAAATATTACAGTATATTAATATTAATCGAGGTTCATTGCATACCTGAAATATCGCAAGCATTTCAGAGGCGCCTATTTTCTTTTAAGATGTTTCCTAAATGTGGTAGACCGGCTGGTAATAATAGTGTGAGCGTTAAAAATTCATAACTTCCTTTCTTACGAATTATCATCTCCAAGCCAGGATATGAAAACACAAATTATCCATAATTATTTTTAATATGGTAAGTAATTTTAAATTTTTCGGTAATTCAATGAAACTTTCGTTCATCGATTCCTAATCAATCTTTTCTAGCTGGCGCTTTTATTAATCATTTTTCCATAACAGAGCACTCTTAACAAGGACTTCTAACGAAAGATCCAAATTTCTACCTAATAATTGACGCAATTGATTGATGTTAACTATGGGACCAATTTACATTTCATCTATCCAATGAAACAACATAGAAACGAACAATTATATCTCAAACTAGCGAATCTCTATCAAATCACTATAACATAGTACATTAAAAATTATTTGCAGATTTATTATTAATCTATAGTTTAACAACAACTGAACTGTCACACTACTAAAAACTATCACATCTGTATGCAATAGGTAAATAATATTACAATGCATGCTACCTTATTGTTCTTATTATTATTATATTTTATTTATTTATTAAAAATCGTAAAAGAATTATGAAGACCGGCAGTCATACGTAATAAGTTACTGGGCGTCTATGCCTACGCCGTAAATTTTCACATTAAAGAGCAAAGAATGTAATAGAAATTTGCACAGCGAGTTCATTTATGAATTTGAATCGACTAGTAATTCGGCAAAATGGCCCTTGTGATGGAAAAATATATCCTGACAGAAAAGATCATGCGGAAGAACATAATTTACTTGCAAAAAATAGCACATCTGAGGATCTGAAGCTCTGAAGACTCACGTTGAGATTATGACATGACCATGTAAAATCCGCATAATTTTTGTTTTTCTTTATAATTTTCAACTGAGATTTGATTTAAATACTCTCATAGATGATAAAAAAATACTCTATCTGAAAGAATAAAAAAATAATTATACATTAAAAAAATTAATAATACATATATTTTATATGTATTATCAATTTTTTTCATGTATAATTATTTTTTTATTCTTTCAGATAGAGTATTTTTTTATCATCTATGATATTAATATTAATATGATGAACAACAAAACTCATATTCATTTCAAATACTCTCATGAAAAAATTCTAACTAATTACATTTTCGTCGGTCATTTATCCGTGTCATGTCATGTTGTACTGTAACAGTTCCGTGACACGCGAGCGTCGCGTTAGCGGAGCTACTAACGACTGTCCTGCGCTTCCGGGAACTTTCCCTGACGATGACATCTGAACTGGAACCTTTATTGATGACTAGTACACGTCTCTTCACCCTTTACTGCTGATGACGTGTGGACTGGAACCTTTATTGATGACTAGTACACGTCTCTTCGCCCTTTACTGCTGATGACGTGTGGACTGGAACCTTTATTGATGACTAGTACACGTCTCTTCACCCTTTACTGCTGATGACGTGTGGACTGGAACCTTTATTGATGACTAGTACACGTCTCTTCGCCCTTTACTGCTGATGACGTGTGGACTGGAACCTTTTTGATGACTAGTACACGTCATCATCTCAATTGTAGACCCGTGTTTTTTTACTGGCCATCTTGCTAAATGACTTACGACATTTTTCGAGCCAGGGTTAACTGGGATTCTTGCTATTCACGACTTTGACGATTCTTTACATTTCAGATGGACGTCCGAGGGATGATCTTGATACTGGCGCTGTGTCGGAACGCTGAGGCGGGATTGCTGGAGGAAGCTCTAAGCACGGTGCACAAAACTATCTTTTCCGACCAACGTGTGATCAACCCCTTTGCCAGTCTGCAGGGCTTCAAGAGCAACAGCGTGAACATTGGGAACGGATCAAATGATGATCCTACATCAATGCATTTTAAAAACCAGGACTTCAGCATTGTCCTAGGAAAAGCTGGTCTAGAAGCCATCGATTCTATTCTAGATCGAGTGTTTAACTTTACTAGAAAGCTAAATAGCCAGAACTTACCTTTTATTATAGGGAATAGCACTGCTGCTGGTAATCTTGATGATGCAAGATATGCTACCGAAGCCGACGAGTCTTCCTTACGGCAGACAGTATTACCGCAGGAGTCAAGGGAAGATAACTTCCAGAATTTTGATGACAATTTTCAGCTGAATCGCAATTTTGACGTTTCTTCGAAATCTTTCGATTCCTTGAAAACGCTGAAAAGAAGACGACCGATCCTAACTGCTCGTGATGCCCCAAATTACTATGATCCTTCCGATGGTGCGCTTAAAGTGGATAAAAACTTCCTGGACTTACATCTAAATGAAAACAGGATCAGGACTGGAAATGGCTTAGAATTTACATCCGTGTCTGATGAACAACGAAACTTAGAAAGCCATAAAACGAAGGCTATCAGCATGTCTTCTTTTAACGACGGACGGCTTAACGAACAAAACCGATTCGAAAATACCAAGGACCCAAGTAATTTCCCAGCTAGCCAAATTTTCGCGAACGCACAAACAACGCATATCGAACCTTACCCCAGCCTTACTTCAAACACAACAGACTTTAACGTTCCTCCCACCACAACAAACAACCCATATACTCACATCTCTCCGGACCCCAGCGCTAAGAAGATAATTACAGAAGCGAGGTGAGCGAACGGGAGCTACATTTACGACCACGCTGACGTATGCCATCAGTCACGTCTCAATTATTATAATCATCATTCACGCACAGCTAGCCTTCGAGTGAAAGCTGACACAGAACGTTACTGTTTATTACTTGAGCTTGACTCAGTGATGAGTAGGAATATCCCGTACTATCGATAATATGATACTTTTCCGACATCCTCCTGGATTATTAGTTCGACTCCAATTACGGACATACGAATTTTTAAAGGTAAAATGTTTAGGTCACTGGAAAAGTGATTGTGATTTATTCACTGATTCAATGACAATTTACAAAAAATTAGTAGTCTTCATATAAAATTCAGTCAAAATTAATTGAGACAAAGTACCTACTAGAATAAATTTTCAGGGCATGTTCAACCAAAGTGAACTGAAGGGGTGTTGCTTAAAGACATTTTATATTAATCAAGAAGATTGGTCATTGAAAACAATGAACCACTATGGGCATAATATGTATGCGCACGAAATTACAGTTGATAACTACCTATGCACCTAAAAATCTGTTTATGAATTTCGCCAGCAATAATTGACTTTTTTACCAATGAATAGTTTAAAATAATCATAAAAACTTATTACCCAAGATGTTAACGGGTAAGCATAAATTAATTTAAAAATTTACTCTGTATAGTACATTGTTCATAAGACTGAATAATAACAAGAATATACAAATGTAATACCTATGAATAATTCGATAAACATGCATCTTCTCTAATGTTTATAAACACTGCATATTTCACTATTGAAGTCAATGTGAATCTTGAATTCATTGCATAATCCTTCCAATTTTAATATTTTAATCTTTTGAATGATTATTTAATTTGATTAAAATGGCATTAATTTACCGGGCGAACGTGTACGTTACTTTTTCATTCGAAATCCATGCACTGTTAATCAATGAAATCAATCATCAGGTTTTCTATTAAGTCACAGATTGATCAACAATTTACTACCTTGTCCTGTGGTTAATAACATGTGATATGGCTAGTAACATGTAAAAAGGTTAATAACATGTAATGAGGTTAATAACTTGTAATAAGGTTAATAACATGTAATAAGGTTAATAACTTGTAATAAGGTTAATAACTTGTAATAACCACGTTCCATGCTGAGCAGAGACGTGGTGACGACGAGCGATGACGAGCAGATCAGGCTGCTGGGGCTGCAGCTTCCTGGCGTGGGGGTGAGTATAATAAGGACAAGAACTTCACGATTGTTATGAAATTATTTCCTGACATGTTAACTATTTATTGTCTGATTCCACAACACAAATATTATTCAAACATAATTTTTAGAATTGTTGAGAATTTTCGGAAATTTGGGCAGAGATGAAATGTTGCACCGTATATAACAATTTTTTCACATTTTTTATTGTGATCTTCTGGACTAACTAATGTTGACAGTCCAAAACGAATAAATTTTTTTTTATTATATCATGACTATACTACGGCCATCTCAGACTAACTATATGACTGCATGAATACTAACGTCAAGGCCTACAATGCAATCAGAGTAAAAAGTAAACTAAAAGTAAAAAAGAAGTAGAGTAAAAAGAAAAAAAAAACTTTTCCCAGAATTTTGTGATGCAACGGCCGCCTGATCCACCAGATCTTCCAGTCCGACAACAATTGACTTCGGTGAGCGAACTACTCCGTGAAATGGGGACCAGTGAACTGGATGAGTGCATGAAGCTACAGAAATAGGGACCAGTGAACTGGATGAGTGCATGAAGCTACAGAAATAGGGACCAGTGAACTGGATGAGCGCATGACACACGTGAAATGGGGACCAGTGAATTAACTTGGTTAGCGAAGTGAGCGTTGTAGGCGCTTGACCCGCATGAAATAGGGACCTGTGATAATAGTGAGCGCATTAAACGTGTGAAATTGGGACCAGATACGCCGATGGGACGCTCTAAATGAGCACAAAATGTAGTCACGTGATTTTTTCCATTTTTTTTCCACCTAAAATGTGAATAGGTGAGAAATGAACGCTTCCATTTAAAATGGGACAAAAGGACGTATTTTCGGTGTGAAATTAATCGTGTGAACTAAATTTTGCATTGCAAATTTCAAGTAGTCTAAACTTTCAACGATTATTATACTCATTCCAACATCTGTAAATCTACACATTGTACGATTTTTATCAGATTTTTTATACAATACGCCATTTTTCAGACCCCGTTCTTCTCCACCAGCAGCGGAGCCAGGAATGAAGGACCGAGCGTAGGCGACCTCTTAGGAGTTGTTGAGCCCGCAGGTTTCCCGGCAGACGAGGCGAACTCTCGATATCCCGTCATCCTGAGTGAACCCGCGCAAACCACGCTTCAACTGATAACTCAAGAGGACCAGTTCTCTTCGAAATATAATAAGAATGATAGAAGTATTGGGACTAGTCCATGGCCCATTCTGGGGAGAGAAGCTTATCAGGACAATAGGCAACATCTTGGAAAAACCATTCACGATTCGATAGAAGATTTTGAGAAAAACCGTTGGCGCCACCCAGCAAATCAACCGCCCAAGGAAAACAGAGAACATGGGCTTTTCACTTCAGTCGTTCCTAAGCAGAACGTCGAACACCAAATAACTGTCAAAAACAGTGGAGAAATAAAAAATTTGTTATCAAATAATCTCACAACAGTTTCCATTAATTCTCCGAACTTGGAAAATATTGTCATTTATACAAATAATCCGACTGTGAGCGTTGCAGATCAAACCAAAAGACCATCACAAACCGAACATGAGTCAGCGAGTATCAACGAAAGTCAGGCGAACGCCGATCATTACCTCAGTCCACAAGTATTGAGTTCTGCCAATCCTGACTTTCCTCTATATCCTCCTCTTGGTAATTCTAGTGTAGAAGTGACACTTGCATCTCAGCTCCCAATACAAGAGTCGGATAACGCCATTCGAGATGAAGCACACACAGAGTCAGAAACACCACAATCAATTCCAGGCTTTGAGTCAACGACTTCAGATGCTAACATAACAAGCAACGAAAACTCTGATTTGTGGGCAATTACTGGAGTTAAGGCAGAAAATTCTACTCCAAGTTCAACAGTTACTGCTTTTCATACAGCTCCTCCAGTGCTGTTCACAGCGGTGAATAGTTTGTACCATATTAAAGGATCAACCTCAGCTGGGTTACCACCCGGCAGTCATCAGTCATATTCGCAAATTCCTGTGAGCAGTTCAATTCCAACTAGCGAATCAGAAATCAATGATTTTCTCTCCATGGTAACCGCAGCTGGAGGAATCTCTTCATTATTTCGTAATTTCAACTCATTCTTGACGTCTCCTAGTGCGACGTACGGATCATCACTAAACCACTTCAGACCAGCGCAGTTTTCGTCTGATCAGAGGGATGCCCAGAGCCAATCATTACAGAACCTCGCGCTGCAAAGTCAGAGGTTCGACCCCGCGATTCGACGTAAGAATCTGCACGACTATCTGACCAGAGTATTTAGATCACAACAATTAGTCTACGATGATTTCGATCAATTGCTTGTTAACCTTCTGTTGCAGGAACCAACTCATCGTCCTAAAAAACAACATGATGTCAACGGGAGGTTATCACCAGCCCAACAGTCTTTACTATTGTCCTTGATAGGTGCCAACGCTGGACGAAATTTACAATTTGGAGACCGGCTTATGCCTTCCCAATCGAGCGCCCTTGAAACAAATATTCAATATTACAATGCATTTGACTCAGCCTCGCCGCAACAGCGTCGAGTTTACCTTCAACCATTGCAGAGAAACAGCGACTTGGATACTGCACGTGAAGGCACCAGTCCCACTAGTGGACATCCGCTGCTTGGATAATGTCCATGCAAACGGACATCGGAAGAAGGACGTCTGGATCCCAGAATCAGAATATCATTAAAATCAACGTTACCACTTGAATTTCAAGGACTTACTTAAAGGAACATTGTACCACTGGTTAACATTGCACAAACATATACGGTTATCCATTTTTAAATATTTTTGGTAAGAAATTATATTGATATTCATAGATATTCATTAAGAAATGAACACTTGTCAGTAAATTATTGACTTTCAAATTTGGCACTAACATTAAAGTCATTTTTTAATCTGTTGCGGACAATTTATAATCAGATGAGCAGCACTGATGCCTATTTTTAAGTTGTTGTTTACATGTATAAAACATAGTTAAATATATACACAAAATTCAGGTGAATAAAAACTGTAATGTTGAACTTGACATTCAACGTGAATAGAAGGACACGAACCTTGCCCCATGATTGAGGAAGATGTCTGAACTGTAGTGAAAAGTTCTCAGTTTGTCATCGAATATTATATATTAGCATCGGTATTAATTTCTCCAATGATATTTATCGGCATTAGCAAACTACTCAAAACTTTGTTCGGAATTCTGTGTTCTCATCGTTAGCTTAATTGAGGCGTATTGCAACCATAGCTCTAATAATCGAAATGAAATTCCGTTTTAATTTCTCTGATCTTTTTTTAATTTTCAATTGTAGCATGTTGCAATCGATCAACAGTGATCGGTTTATCTTTACCGATTTATACAGCGGTGCACAATGAAAGATGCAAAGTTTATCATATGTAGTGAATATGGCGAGCTGTGAAGAAAAAATTGATCCCTCACATAGCATTTTAGTTTTTCACGTCACTTAATTATTCTCCGTTCAATCATTGTTGGTCATAAGGCATTATAATTTCGTGAATTTAAATTCATCGCTTGAATTTCAGAACTAGCATTCTACCAACTCAAACTGAAACAAATTACGACGTTTTTTTCAATAGAGATATTTTCAACGTACGTTGAATAAAGAAATTAATGATAAACATCAAAATAACAGTTAAGCAATGATTATTTTACACAAATTGAATACAATAATTTCTCTTTTATAGTATCATATGGACTTTTAGAGAATTCACATAGATGAATTAATTCATCCATTTAACATAACATAACATAGTGATCTCGGCGCTGCAGTGTAGGCCTGATGTGGCCTGTCGCCGATTCTTTTCCTTTTCGCGCCTTGTTCACAGAAGATCTACAATCGTGTCATTTGACCAGATCTTTTCACGACTGACGAAAGTTTGAAATAGATACGAGAGTTTCCGGTGGTTCTTGCACTACTAAAATCACATTTAGTAGTGCATGTAGATTCCATTCGTTTGATGGTCGGCAGATGAAATGCCCTTCATTGGCTGGCACTATCTCAAATTATTATCACTGGATCTGCCGGTTTAAAGCTCGCTTTCCAATCGGACGAAAATCCCACCGACCTGCCGAATTCAGGTCTGGCGGAAGTGTCGGCCGAACGCAAAGCGGCTTAAGGCTGAGGTGAATTCTGAGAAATTGGCACTGGGTTAACACGATCTGGAAAATTGGCACTCGTGGATTTGTAGTGGGTAAAGTCGGGAGCTATCGATTTCCAAGAAAGCGATCACGAATTCTCGTTATTGGTCTAGCACCAATAGCTAGTTCGACAGGCGGTCGCTACCGCATCTGTGCCGTACCAATACAGAAACGATGCAAGTCTTGGGTTCCGCCGGCACTATACCGATGTCGAATCGCAAAATGAAAATTCCAAGTCAAATGCTAGATTTCGTCATAATGGTTCTGTGCAGGTTCGAGCCGCGCTCAGTAAAGATCAGATGAATATTTTCAGTGAAATTGACACTGGGCCGGTACAGGGCCGGTACAGGAATGATAACTGGCCCATGCTTGGCAGATGTAGAATCCTTGCTCAGCTGATGCCGATCGTTTACTGTGTCGGTGCATGGCCCGAGGCCGCGCCACGACTGGGTCTATTGCGGGTCAGTGGCCGGTGCAGGTCTGACGGCCTTGCAAGTCTGCGTCTGCCAGGGCCGTTGAGTTACTCCGTGCGACTGGAAACAATACGGGAAAAAATTGGAAAGTGTGGTCAGTCAGGAGGAGGAATCATGAAATATTGCTTGGCTGATCCCGACATGAAATAATAAGAAGCGGCTTTCTTTCGAGAGAAAGTAAACCCATGGCAAATGTGAAGATAGTAGCGGAATAGTGTGAACGCAACCTCCGACATTAAAACGAGCACATATTTTTGTGTTCAATTGCCAGTTTTCGAGCTCTACGAGACATTTTAAACTAAGAAATTTCAATTTAGACAAAAATTCTGAACCTACAGTACAATTGCTGCAACTAACATATAGTAAATTAGAAATTACGGGAAATGGTTACACCGGGTTAATAGATGATACATAAAAAATTTGCGTTCAAATTATTTAAACAGAAATGACTCACACAAATAAACAGTATTGCCTTTAAAACTTATTATAATTTGGCATCAAAATTATTGATTTAAAACATGAACTTTCAGCGACAGAGACATATATTTAATGCCAAATATTTTATTCGAAGGTTCGAACGAATTTTCATTGTGCACTGATATTGTCAAATGGCAGTCATTTTATCTATAGCGGTTTCCGCGTTCATTAGGCCGTAGGCCTTTCGCCGATTCCTAACATTACAGAACATCCACAGCTTGTTACGGTCTTGAACTCGCAACTCACTGCTTCAAATTTTCTTAGCTTAACCGCCCGGCCTCCTCGCAGATTCTGACCAGAAACTGGCGCACAGAGCTGGGATCGAACCTGCACCTCTCTGCTCCAACCTTGGGACTCTGAACTTTAACCTGTGTTTTTGGTCTCGGTCAATAGGATGATAAAATTATATTTTCTGTCTTTAAATAGACGATCCTAGTACAAAATATTAGTGGAATTTGCGATTATTGACAAATATTTTCGGCACACGGAGTGCGACCTAAGCAATTATCTCTAATCGTTATTTTTTATTGATCTATAAATTAATATAACAGCGTACTTTGAGGTCTATGAAATACTCAAAATAAAAAATCACATGCTTCAGTTTCTGGCTGATTTGATCCCAAAAAGCATATTTCTGCGGTCGTTATCTTTGTCAAATTGAAATATTTGTAATTGGTGAAATATCATTGTAAACAACCCTTTTTTCAAATTACCCATATATATAACTTCATCTTTAGAAAAGATTTTCTCATTTTTAGTCATAATTCAATTTCAATTTTACTGAACGTAAAATTAAATTGCTTACAATTTTTCTTAAAGTTTTCTTGTTAATATCGCTAGTGAAAGCACGCACGTAAAAATACTAATTTTTATAATTTATAAATTTACAAAATTGGTACTAATTTAAACACTCATTACGACATTAGTTGTTAAATTTGGCAAATTCTTCTTTACAATTCAAAAAATGAAGAATAGATTTGAACGATTTTATTGTAATATATATTATATAGGTTTGAGATTATCCAGGAAAGGTGAAATCCATAACATGCCAGCATGTGAAGACACTTTTAATTCTTCAGTGAAAGATTCCACCGCAACTTTTTTATATGCTCAAAACCAAAACAAAATTCACAACGACTCAAGATTCGTTTTCAAGGTCAAATGATGTCATAACTTGGTGGTGCCATTTGATGGTGGTATAGTGGGCTGATTGATGCGGTGCACAGCACATTTGATGGTGGTATAGTGAGCTCGTTGATGCGGTGCACGGCACACTTGATGGTGGTATAATGAGCTGGTTGATGCGGTGCACGGCACACTTGATGGTGGTATATCACACTTTTCAGGTCAATGTCCGAGCAGTTATTGGCGCTCACATCTTTTTCGCTCAACTTCAACACACTTTTCAGGTCAATGTCCGAGCAGTTATAGGCGCTCACATCTTTTTCGCTCAACTTCAACGCACTTTTCAGGTCAATGTCCGAGCAGTTATAGGCGCTCACGTCTTTTTTTGTTCAACTTCAACACACTTTTCGGGTTAATGTCCGAGCAGCTATTGGCGCTCACATATTTTTTTCGTTCAACTTCAACCCATTTTTTAATGTCATTTCCCAACGCCCAAGTGTCTCGACGGAGAATTGAGGAAATGAATATTTAACTGTGTTCTAATTATAACACGGAAGTATAGAGAAAGGACAAATACCGAGTCAAGAAACAATTAGAATTTCAATAGAGTAAAGTATCCGGTGTCATCGTGAAAAGTTTTTAAATAATCATCGACGTATGCCGAATGATTAAATTTATATAAAATATTTATTTATAATTTACAAAATATTTATGATATATAAGTATAAATAAAATATTTATACTCATATATCATATATATATTTGAGTTACCGAACGCATGAGACATTTTCCCCACCTTAGGTCTTCAGTTGAAGCAGTTTATAGACATAAATACAACTTCACTCACGAACAATGGCCACATATTCCTTTATGACGTAGAGGGAAAATGAAAAAAATCGTCAATCTTTCCTTCAATAAACTGATTGTTTGCTATATTGGTCAGCTATACGTAAACTTCCTATTGTGCCTAACGTGGTAATATTAGGTTATATTTTTGATCGGTGATATATGATCAGGTATAAAACATCATTTATTTTGCACATTTTGTGTGCTAGGTGTAACGAACAAAACTTTCATCACAACGGAAAATAGTTTTTACAGTGTATATGCTTTAACAGTAATTTGTTTGATATACATTTATCATTGATAAGTAGTGTTCAAAATTGCGTTGTCTCTTCATGGGTTCGGGTAATATCTTTAGCGAGAGTTGGCATATGGAATTTTTCCGTTCTACAGCTTCACATTAATAAAATTCTGCTGATCATAGTCGCCGACAGATTAATATTCCTGTCATTGTTGTCAACATTTCAAAACTACTTTCATTTACATAATTCTTATTGAGAGTGCATCTCTACATGAAACGATATTTCCCTCAGCTGTACAGTGAGAATTTTAGACATAATTTGAACAACTTGCATTATTCCCAGCATGAATAGCATTTACTGACACTGATAGGTAATTGAGAGATTAAGGATATTTGAATGTTGATTGGGATATTTACCTCCTATTGCATGCATTATTTTATAATACAACCAAAAGTCAAAAAATAAATTTTTTAGAAAAATTTTCCAGAATTTTGTCAATTACGCGTTTTTTTTTTTGTGCAGAGGCATCATTTCAAACTGCGTTCGAAGCTCATTACACAGTCACGAACACGGTTAATATTAGATTTATGCTCGACCTTCAGTGTCCCAAAAATGACCTGAGAGCAAGAGTGGCCAATGAAGGATGTGTTCTACCATGACGTAACTTACCTGCGCTGTCCAATGAAGGCAAGCCTTCACTTTCGCCTCCGTCCTTGCCACGGCCGTCTGCTGGTACGCCTAGCAACCGCTGCTACCTTCGCTCTTAGCACTTTTTGGTCAACCTTTCGATGCCGGATGTGCTTTCGGTTCTCAGTGTAGAGAAGAGGCAGAGCTACCATAGTTCAGACCAGAATATTGAGTTATATTAGAGCAGATGCCGTACCTCATGGATTACAGCAGGAGCTAGCAAGTATAGAAAGTATGCAGCTTACAATCCGGGTTGCTGGCGTCTGCCTCAACGCATCCGGCTTGTGTCGAGGCTTTCTCCAGGACCTTTCGTTTTTCAGCCCCTACTCCAACAATGACAATCTTTTCTTCTCGTGAG